TCCGAAGAGGTCAGCTAGCTAGTTAGCCAGCCAGCATCATCAGTGAGTTTTAACAGCGGTAAATCGAGACTCCTCAACTACCACACCATAGTAGTGAGCATTTTCGTTTACTTCTGATGACACCGGCGCCGAGGCTACCATAATTGTGCAACGAACTGATATACGCCATCCTCCATCCACAACATCTCACAGAAACCATGCCACAAATACTACAGTTGCACCTCATTTTATTCATGATAATTGAACACATTCTGCTTGAGAGTGAAGTGTAATGATATTTAATTACCCTTCACGAAAGCGTCATCAATCTGTGCCAATGATTAGCACTAGTTATACTATTTGTTTGTCAGATAGACTACCACCTATTACTGACTACAACAAATAAAAAAACGAAATCTTTTTCACGGTGATTTGTCGTTGATAATATTAACCCATGAGACACAGAACGTGTAGTATAACAAAAAAGGGATATACGACAGCCTACTTAACGCGTGCTTGCTGGTAATTTTAATCTAATCGAACAGTCTCCTGATGAATTCCGCCTCTACCAGCCACAAACCGTGAATAACAATCAGTTAAATTTATGCAAATAATATTTCGCAGTTTTACTCACATTTGACACTACATGGTATACACTGTGGACAAGTTATACTATGAATACGGTGGTGGTGGATTTTGCTTACCGAACCAATCTCTACATTTTCCATGTCGTCTCCTTCGAAAAAGATACGGTGGACTCGGGATTTGAATCTACTTACTTGACGACAGGAAGTTTTTTGTACTTTTCACCAAGTCTAGAAAACTATTGCTACTAATCAATAATCAGTACGTCCACTAACTGAACGTAGACAACTGCACTCATTGTAACAACACCAATCTACCGCTTCCGCGAAACACGCATTCGCATGCTCACGCTGACGTTAAATCGCAAATATCTGATGCACAACTGAACCTGTTTGTGTAACCACCACCATCGGCATCGTCGTCGTCGTGATCATCAGCGCAATCACTTGACAGCAGCCTTAATGTTACTCCGCTAATCAGCAGACAGACCATGTTGCTCAATTCTTCCATCCGTGTATAAATCTAACTCTCACTACAAAGTAGGATGTCACGTGTGACACTAGGTAACTGTTCCACCGTCGTCTATGCTACATGTACGACTCGTTTTAAGTGAGAAGTAGTTGAAGTAGCGTTGGTACTAGAATGAGTATCACACACCACATGACCTCTCAGTTCCACCTAAATCGAACGATCTTAGAGGTGGTTCTCACAATATTGCCTAGTACCATTCGATTCCAACCTGCACTAGGAAGGTCAGCATTTTCACACGATTTCCTGGTCTGGTTTCAACAGTTCGCTGACGTACAGAGCATTGACATACGCGCCTTCGCACTTTTCCGTCATAACATTGTAAAATTGTTATACCAGAAACATAACAGTGATAGGAAGTCGTTTAAAGACAACAGACACACACGCATCACCCACTAATTTGGCTGTTCGCGCGGAGTAAATGGACCGATGGTCATAAGAGGAGGTGAAACCGACTCGCTCACCCATAAGCGCGACGAGAGGCTCGGTAGTGATGGAAAAGGAAGGTGCGATGGCGGCAAGTCATCCCTTCACACACAAACGGCCGTAGATGCAGCAAATAATCGTTATCATTTCACAAATCGTCAGAATATGTGCACCTTGGTGCTTTTCACATCAACAAAGGAAAATAAATGTAGGAGCCTAATCAAATGTTCGCTCCTGCATAACGATGGGTTTAAAACAACCGAACCCTTTGTCGGATAAATGAAATGAGTCATTAGTCGGAAGGCAGGCGAGTATTAAGCTTCATTGCACTCGTGCATGGTAATGTCCAATTTTCACGATCTGCTTTGCAGGTTTACGGAACGAACTCACTCAATTCTTAAGTTGTCGAGTGAATGCATCACAGCTAGACCTAATCGCAACAATCTATCATAGACTCTAGCGGTTTTCCCTGATTTCATAAGTTAAAGAAACAAGTCAATTCATGTACTACTTGCGCAGACCAGGAAACAGCATTTGCACAAAATAGTGCCGCACGGCATGCCAGCATTTGCAAAATTCCAAGCAAACAGCCACAGCCTCGCAAGGAAATCGTACACATTGATGGTATAAATCAAATCAACTTGAACTGAAGACATTGACGCAAGCCACAATCCGTGCCCTTCCACCCACTAAAGGTCGGGAATATTTAATCCGAGGAAATCCAATTTTAAGCAGCTAAGCTTCACAGTTTCAGCATGTTGCCTCAAAGGCTGGTAATAATTCTGCCAAAATAAACTCTCACTGTCAAGCACCTGCTCGTTTATTGTTGCCAATGTGCTGAGTGTGGCGTTGGCAAAAGAAAATGGTCAAATTGCTTCTATGCACTCATCCAGTATGTAGTTAGGTAAAATTCACAGACGTGCTAGAGTTAAACCACACATCAATCTTGATTCGCGCAGCACGTCCAATGGTGTGAAAATCAATCGCAAATTAGGGATTTCACCACGTTCTTTTAGAAGCTAATTCATGTCTGATGCCACTCCTTACGCATTTAACGCTTCACACCCACATTTGCACCTACAATCGTGCTACATTCCACTTGTCAACTGGCCTACAATTCGTGCTACCCTTTCCTTGATTGCGTCAGTTGTAACCAGGCTATAGACCTAACAAAGAGCGATTTTTAGCCGCCTAGTGAGCACCCGAAGCCCTGCGGGCTCAGTCTGTCATTCTGCCTCACTTCTCCGATTCTTAGCCAAGCGATTCACACTACTTCCAACACTCTCCATGAGTATCCACCGACAAAATACGAGTTCCCAGTGTCCCACATGTTTCCAAAAACGCAATTTAATATTCCCATCAAGAAAAACTCACTATCGACTCCTAAATACACAACATACAGAACACATGCAGCACATAAATTACTCAATCATGGACTAGAGTTGCAAGTCAACATATTGTAAGCACCTATGCTCGCAAACGGAAATCTACACCTCACAACTAGAAAACATCCGGTCTGCAACTGACCACCTATACATCCTTGACGTCAGTCCATTTTTTTTCATGATTTCTAGATTCAGGTGGCTGGTGAGGGCTGTTCATCATGCGTTTAAGTCAAGGCATCATCTAGACCACAACATTACCATCGTGAGTAAACGACTTACACCAACATTATAATCAAAAAGAACCCAAGTCTGACTGTAAACACCACACACTCAGTAGTATGTACAAAAATACGCACGAGACAACACAGTTTCACCGCGGGGTAAAATTAGAGAAAGCAGCTCATCTCTCCAAGCGTAAACCCACTTCTAGTCCTGCAACTGCAATGACTCCTCTTTCGTCACTTCCTGAAACACAAAATTCAAGAGATGTTCACAAAGCTGCACATACAACCACACGCGTCATTCTCCTCCCGAACACATCACTTTCCTCCAATTAATGTTATTTTATTATGCACATGTTGGACTTGATCACCATAGCTAGTCCTACATTTGCACAATGTGCACCGCCCTAACCACCAAAAAGCACATTCCAAACAAGGAAGGCATTATCGTTCAAATCGCACCGACTTAGTAATGCACATTATGGAAGTCATGCATTCCCCATTACCATACTCGTACAATAAAAACACTCTGCTTTTGACCACCAAACACATCTTCACACCATGACACCCTGCTACTCCTACACAAACGATCTTCGTTGAATTCACAAGTAGAGCAATAGGCTCGCAACATGACACCAAGAAATGCAAGACAATTCTTACCAAGTAGTCGGCCACAAACGCCTTTGCCTTCTCGTCTACTTTCGACAGACGCTCAATTTCGGCATTCAATTTTTCCACAAGGACACACAACTAGTAGCACAAAGTCACAACACGACAAATCTCACCTCCTCATTTTCCGCCAAACTCTCCACTAAAGCCAATCGTCGACTTTCAGCCAACGCCTTCCAATACTCCACTGGTGGTTCTTCTACAAAACTACTGTGTTATTCATGCCTTACCATAACACAACATTTCTCAGTTGGGCCGAACACTATAACGTCGTCGAGGTAGACAGGGCATTTTTGTTGAAGGAGGCCTTGCAGGACTTTCTGCATTACGCGCTGACAGGTGGCTGCTGCGTTAGCTAAGCCCATGGGGAGTGTACGGAACTCATAGAGGCCCGACGGAAAAGCAAAGGCGGTCTTTTCCCGATCTTTTGGATCTACTTCTATTTGTCAATAACTGCTGGAGAGATCGAGGGTGGAGAAAAACTTTTGTCCGGCCAGCGCGTGAAGGAGATCGTCCATGCGTGGAAGGGGAAAGAAATCACGAACTGTTACTGCATTGAGTTTCCGATAGTCAATACAAAGGCGGAGGGAGCCATCTTTCTTCTTGACAAAGGTGACTGGAGCTGCCCAAGGGGAGGATGACGGAGTGATAATACTTTGTCGAAGAAGGTCGTCTGAGTGTTTCTAGGTCTTTTCGGTAGTGTACCGGTATGCGCCGAGGGGGTGATCTCTGTGGAGGAGCGTCTCTAATGTTAATGGAGTGCTGGATAACATTCGTTCTGCCGATGTCCTGACCTGCCCATTTGAACACATCGGTAAATCGAGTCAAGAGTTAGTGTAATTGCAGGCAACTATCCACCGGGATGTTAGAGGGAAGAATGTCGGTTATCGAAGTGGGTTCTGCTGGGGGCTGATGGCGTCGACATCGAGCACTGGGACTGAAGGTTCCGGTTGTATCCGACCAATTTGACCCGTGGAACAATCGATAACACACTTGTTGGTGCGGAGGAAATCATACCCAAGTATAACATTCCATCGGCAATCCAGGGATATTAGAAATAGATGGCGCGCCTCGATCGAACCGACCTTCACCCGGGCCATAACAAAACCGGTGATGTCCAGAGTGGAGTTGTTCGCCACGAAAACCAAAGGAGTGGAGGGGGTCAGCCATGGAAGGTTTATGACGGCGGGGAACTTGGGATTGACTATGGACACTGCTGCCCCCGTGTCAATGAGGATAGTGGACTTATGTGACTCTATGTAGCCTTGGACCGCCAGAGCGTGAGAATCGGTAAAAAGGACAGAACTGGAGGGGAAGGGTAGCTCACTTTCTTGGTTGTGTCCGCAACGTATGGCCGCCTTGCCGAAGAGTCTGCAGTAGCCGCACTTCAAGGGGTCGGGGTCATAAACAGGTTTGAGTTTTTGCGGGTGAACAGGGGGTCGCGGGTTGCCAAATGTTGTCGGAGTGGAGGGAGTCGGGAGTGGGTTGGGGTAAAGCGGGGAGGCTGATGGGAAATAGCGAGGGTAATTGTGTGTGGTGTGTGGGGTTTGGGTAGGATATGGGTGGGTATGAGAGTTGTAGGATTGGGATGACTGGGCCCGTTCGACGATATCCCAGACTTCGTCCAAGGACCCAGGAACTTTGCCACCAAATTGTTGGCGCAGGCTTGGGTCTCGAATGCCTGTCACGAGACGGGGCAGTAGGGGTGCGCTTGCTCCATCTGGGGGGTATGCCTGTCGGGCGAGGCGTGAGAGTTTGTTGAAATATTCTTCGAACGATTCCCCGGGAGCTTGAATTCGGTCGAAAAACTGGAATAAGATCTCACCGGGGTGGAGGCCTGAGCCGAAAAGAGGCTCCAAGGAATCCAGAATGACTCCGGGTTGGGAGTCGCCTGGGATCCTCTTTAGGAGCTCCTCACGGACGTCTGGGGCCAACGCTATGAGGATACACCTACCTCTGTGCTCAGGGGGGATAAGGGGTAAATGGAGATCAATGAGCGTGCGCCAGTGGGAGAAGTTATTGCGAAAATGGAGAGTGGGAAGTTGGGTAGGGGGTAGGCTTGTGTAAGGGTATGGGTTGGGTGTTTGTGTGGGTGTGGGGTTGGGTGGTAGGTTGTGAGAATAGGTTGGAGCAGAAGGGGAATGGTCTTCAACGAAGGATGACGAGGTGTCGTCGGCAGGGGTGGAATTCAGGTCGCGTTTCTGATTACGCCGTTTGCCCATGGTGTGGAGGAATTTGGGAGAATAAAGGTGACTGAGAGCGAGGGTTCAAAACACTAGTAGTGCGTGTGACTACTAGTGGGTATGCTGCCACCAAAATGTAACGTGCGAGCAAGGCTCAGACCTAGGAAGAGAGATGGACTAATGACGGATCTGCGCGAGACATACAATCCAGTTAGGCACTAGGCGCTGAATGCGAGGAGAGAGGATACTAGACGACTTTATTCGGGACACGGCTTACAAGACGAATAGGGGAGGAAGAGCACAAACAGGGCGATAGAGTTCGTGAGACGATAGATAATCCATACACTAGTTATTGGGCAGGCCTAAAAAGGTAAAAATAAGGGAAAAAGTTACCAGGTATGAACAGAGCTCACTGTCATTGCGTGTGGCGTGCGTGACACTACTTCGAATCACAAGTGCCGCCTTTGTCCGAAGCAAGATTTTCGGTAGATTTGAACAATGGATCAAAACATCAATAATATTTACAAGTATGCAATATAATTAATGACAACAGAATGGTGCTTTTGCAGAAAAAATCAGCTGTGTGTGAGGATCAAATATGGTGATATTGAGCATCAGATTGGGTAGCGGAAAATGTTAATCGGTTTGAAATAATTCACGAAGATAGAATAATAGATCATTTGATTGAAAACAAAATTAGATATTGGAAATAACGGTTTAGTAAATTAGAGAACCTGAGTAATAAGTAATACCATGCAGTTAATTACCAGCCTAATCAATGCTAAGTAGCCACTTCGTCGTCGAATATTTGACAAGATATTGTCGCAGAAAAAAATTATTTGATAATCAACGAACTTTCTAAGCTGTTTGCTGCTGTTGACAGCTGTGCGTGGAAAGGCTAATTTATGAATGACTGTTTCATGAGCGACGAAAAGTGGTAAGCTCATTTGAATTCAAATTAGGAAATATATCCGTGGATTGCATAGGTAAAGGAGACGATTTACAGTGAATACATTTTTGCAGTCCATTTTAGCAGCTTTCTGTAACCCCCACGTATTAATTGAAAAATACATAACGAAGGTCTGAATGATGTTTTCAAGTGATGTAGGGATTTGCCACAGCTACCACAGTTCATATGACAAATTATTGTGCTCCCAACTGGTGCACCACCTAAGCCTATTTCTTCGAACGCCACTATTTACTTGCCTAACAGTGAATGCGCAAACAATTTTTTGCGCACCGTGCTGTTTTCACATATGTCCAGTCCAACCTTGCCAAAGGCTTCAGACTTGTTACACGCACCTACAATCAGCGGCCAAACAAACGGTCACGCCTGCGTCGACATGCATCTTATCAATCTCCTCCAACTATTTTTAGGTGTCAAATCAGACAGCGAAGGCGAAATTGAAATAACTGCCCTGGTTTGTGCGTGCGATCCACATCAATGACCTCAACAATTTTGCGCGCCAAAACTAAGCTCTTTTAACTTCTTGCAGGCTGGTACACGACCATCTGCAACAACGCCCATGGAAGCTCTGTGTCATATTTTCCGCAAAATTTTCAAAATATTCAACTGAATCCCCTTTAATACTGGTTGAAATATCGAATGTCAATCCTTCCCAATGAGTCACACGTAACATACCCGAATGTCCAAACCTGTCCTCTTTGCTCCACTTTTGATTAATCTATTGGCCTAGCCTATGCACTTGACTTTCGTCAATCTTGGAGATTTTAAACCTGTCTCGCAGATCTCTTTTCTGACAGACTCATGGACTTCTCACCTCCAATCTCGACTTTCAAGCAAATCAAAGACCGCCGAAATCTTACTCCACTTATTAGTCATTGCGTGTTAGCAT